CGCTTCGGGTGGACTACTTAAATAGGCAACCAAAAGTTGTACGTGTGACTAGTTATACTCTCGTTATACTGATGTAATATGTAAGCCAGTCTTCAGACGGCCCACCCGTTTGAACTAATAAAGTACCAGGGGCCTAAGTGGTCACCTCAATATTAAAAAAAAATATATATATATGACTTTCCTGTTCCAGCTGAACCGGTTACAAAATAATACGGCCATTTAGTACCATTATTTGGGCCCATATACGTAGAGATAGTTGATAGCGCGTGATATTGATCTCTAGATAACTCAAGCATGGCTACTGATAGAAATATCTGAGGAAGAATTTTTAGGTTTTCCATTTGGATTTGTATAATATGGTAAAGGTTATTTGGAAGTTGTTCGTTTAAAGATAATAATAATCTGTCTAACATTTGAATATTAGACATATAATTCGAGAGTGATGTGTAATTGTTGACTAGGTTTGTAGGTTTGTCAAAAAATCTGGAAAAAGTGATAAAAATTTGTCTCGGTATGTTCCGTCTGGAGTAATTTTATAATCGGATTCATTTCTTGCAAGGACTTTTAATAATAATTGTTGGTAGAAATATGGTTCTCTATTTTCGATAATAAGGAATCGATATCTAGTTAATATTTCTTTTACTCTAATTACAACGTAATTAGATAAATTGTCGTGATAAACATAGCGTTGTGTTGGTGCGAGCGGCGAAGATGTGATTGAGTATCTTTCAAAGTATTGAGGGTAAGTAAGATTTTCAAATTTAGGATCATGGGGACGAGACAAGTATTTCATAATAGCATCGTCATAATACAGATTCTCGTCATCTTCTTCAATCATAAAAATAGAAAGCACTGCACGTGATCTTGTAAGAGGAGGTTTGGTGGTGAGAAATTTTACTGTAGCGGAGAAGTCACATATTTGATATCCTAAAACCAGGAACATAAGTTCCATTGAGCTGAGTCTTCGTGCAATTATATGTTCTCTTAATAGGTCATTTTTGTGTATATTGAATATATGTGATGGTTTTGTTTTTGTGATATATTTTGTTATATAACGTGCAAATCCTCTATCGGTTATATATTGCACATTCATATGGGCATTTCAGAGTAAGAGGGTTGGAGCATGATAAGAAACAACCCAGGAGTCAGCTTGTGTTAAGCATTTATAAGTATAACAGGAATTGCCTTCTTCATAATGTATCATTTCACTGAAAAGACGTAAAAAGCCTTTCTTGCATATTTGTGTTGGAACTGCTGGTCCTTGACATCTTGCGTCACAAGTATGTATTTGGTTTGCTATAATAGCGGCATAGAGCTCGGGTTCATATTCAGGGTTTGGTACGGTTGATCTTATTACATTATTCGAAATTATGTTCTCTATGTTATTAGTTGTCCAGTAACAATTGTGCGTATGAGCGGCACATCTGTTCTGAAATTCGACCCTATTAAAGAAGTTGGTAATTTCACTAAACATTGTAAAGGCCGGTTTTTTATAAAGTTCATTTTTTAAAGACTGAAACCTGTGGACAAAATAACTTGTACAATGGAATAGTCTATTGGTAGATAAGGTATCACCATTATTACTGTCACAGAGTATGTCACGAAGATGAGTCCATCGGCTTTCTGCCATGCTTAGGGTTATAAATAAAGTAGGCAACCTGAATTTTTGCAACATGGTATTTAAATGAAGTTGTTTTTGGTAGAAATAGGTGTCACCTGTACATACAAAGGAAGGGACAGGAATTGTCATATTTTCATTGACAATATTGTATGAGGTGTAAGTACTAGGGTGGAGTAGGTCTCTTCCCGATGGAAGACGTTCGTTATTAGTTGAATTTGAATGATTTTGCCATATCAGACGTTAAGTGTTTTGATGATGTCTTATTTTCTCTAATTGAAGATAAGACCATGAAGGCCAGTGATGATGAAGTCTCCATCTTGGGTCGATGTTCATTAGTTGTTGTTTTATGTATTTTCTATACGTTTCAGAGCGCATTACATTTGAATAGTTCTGGTTTAATGTATCGTGAAAATGACCTCTTCCATCCGTGAATAAATCGGGAAACAGTAAAGGTTCCAAGTTGGGATCGTATGTAGAAATTGGTAGACGTGAATTATCATCTTCTTGAATAAAACCTGTCATTAATCTAGTATAATGAAAGTCTTCATTGTGAACTTCATCAGGAAAGTCATAATTCGGAATTATTATGTTATGAGGATTTACAGTGGGTGCATCAGAGTCTGTTGGGATATGCATGGCTCTTGGGAAAAGATTATTAAGTTCGTGGATTCTTTCATTTAATGATAAGTTATTTACTAATGAACTAAGATAAGGATTATTTTGGGCTAACTAGTTAGCAGCACGACGCAAAGTTTTGTCGTAAATAGAGTTATTGATTGAATTGTTAGTGTTATTATTATTTGTTTCTAAGAAAGCACCTAGAATTCCAGAATATAATACATGGGCTCTAATGTTATGTGAGTAATTCATAGTACCAGTTAACCTTCTGTATTCCGAGTAAGGGTTACTATTTGGAGTTCTTTCTAGAGAACAATGTAAATAAATAGGAGACAGATACTTTCTTTTGTATAAAGGGATGGAGATAATTTCTCTTGGCATGGGAGATAAGTGTGGAAATGGAAACCTTGATGAAGGATTTTTACAGGAGGTGCAAGTAGGGACTCTTAACTCGGGGATACAGCTAATATTAGGGTTGAAAGATAAAGAAATATTAGGTATATTAGCTTGTAAGGGATAAATAGTTGATGAATTATAAAAGATCCAAGAAGCTTTCACAGAATATAAGAGTCTTCCGCAATATACACAAACGATTCGAGGCCATTGAGCTAGGATATTATCTTGAAATTTATTATATAAATTTTGGAATTCTTGCGAAGGTCTCCAATATGTATTATTTTGGTTTTGAAGATCAGTATTACGTGATTCGGAGTGAGAGTCGTCATTAGAATATGCCAACCAGTCTTGTAAAGTTTCGTATTCATCGTCGAACATATAAACATTATGTAGTTGATGTGCTATAACTAAAAGCTCAATATTTTGTAAATAAAAGTTTATAGTGGTGCGTAGGATTTTTATTTATTGTCTGTTTTTAAGTTATAGGTATAGATTAATTGTTGTAGGTTGAATTGATCAGTTTTTATTCTGTTAATAAGAGGCAACGAGAAACATTAATAAATACGATGATATTATTGTAGAAAGTAATCGATTGTTTGAATTTCTGAAGAAAATTTATTGAGGTTAAATATATTCAGGAAATCTTGGAATTAATATGAATGCATATAATAAATTTCATTTTTCATGATCATTTTTCATATTCTTGTTGCATTTAGTATTAATTAAAATATTGCTAAGTAACAATGAAATAGTGCAATTAATTAGATTCTTTGTAAATCTTTCTGAAAGAATAGATAAAGAATAGCATATTAGTAAATTTGCGGATAATGCAAATATCTTTCTTCGCGTAATTGTTTCCTTATAGTATTATTGTATTCTGAAAGAAGCATATGTTGTGACGCTGATTTGGTTTTATACAAATAAGGATACAAACACACTATACTTGGAAATGAAATTACAAAATAAAGAGGTATTCTTCTAGTCTCATTCATATCTATATTTATCCTAATGTAGCTTTATTTGGTTTAGTAAAAAAAATATAGATATTACAAAATATTACGTTGTTGAAAAAGTCTAATAAATTATTATAAGGTACGTAGTATAAGAAAATTGAAGAACAATGATTGGTCATATTTTAGTGAAACACAATTTTTACTTGTTATTACGAAAAAAGTATAAATTGAGTTTTTGCGTAACTCTTGGAGGAACTTTTGATTGTTATGTATATGTACTGTAAATAAAATGGTTATTGTCGGTAAGTTAATTACTTACGTGCATAACTTTTAAATTTTTGTAGATTTATTTTATTGCTGCTAATTCTTCGAAGATTTAATTAATTGGTCCCCGAGGCATGAAAAATTAAGAAAAAATGAATGCTACCTACGATTTACTTAATATGCAAAAGTAAAGGTAATTATGAAGAATGAAAGTTATTTCACTATCTACTTGGTCTTATTTGGCTAGCAACCGACAATTTTCTGAAAAATTCAGATATATATATATTTGTATTTTTTTTTTTATTATTATTATTATTTTTGTATTTTTTTTTTTTATTCTTATTATGTATTTTTTTTTTTTTTTATTTTTGAATTTTTTTTTTTCTATTTATTTACTTATTTTTTTACTTTAATTGCGCTAAGAAAAAAAAAAAGTGGACCAAATTATTTGGGCAAATAGATCAATTAGATTCAGGATCTGTTAGATCATTTTGATCTTGTGTTTCTTGACTTGACGTTGTTTGTTTAGCTAGTAATGGTACTGGATTTGCTTTTAAAGCTGCCTGAAGACTAAAGCTAAAAGAAGGTATAATTGTTGGGCCCATTTGAGATAATGTGGGACAATCTTTTCGTAGGGTTCTTGGTGTGGCTCCTCGAGATGTACAATTGATTCTGTGAAGGGTACATGCGGAACTGCTACCTTGGGACAACCAAGGAATATTGATGGCTTGATTGTTTGTGTTTTTATTGCTAATATGTATGGAAAGTAAAGAAATTTCTTCTAATTTTAAGACATGCTTTCCTTCATTAGAATCAGGTCTAAAGGAAGGTAGTTCATGGTGCCGACAAGAAAGGTGGTAGCAGAGCAGATTTTTTGATTTATGGAATTCGTGCGGTTTGCGAGATAAGTGTTGTTTACTTTATGCCTGACTTCTACCCAGAAGTCGTTCGGCTCTTTCTCACCAACTTTTTCTTTGACATAGAAGTCGAGAACTATATTTTCATTTACAGTTTTGGTGGTTTGTGTTGTTTGACTAGTAATTGCAACACCCATACCTATTGCAGGTATTTTGTCGAACTCTAAATCAGTTATTTTAATTGATGTAGCAGTAACCTTATCTGTATTCCAGGCAAATTTGCCTGGAAAATTAAAAAGTATTTACAAATTTTTAAATAAAATTAAAAATTATTAATGA